GATCTGCAAAGCTTTTCAGGCGAATATCTCCTCTTATCCTGCAAGGCAGACGGATATCTTTGTCCCCAGGAAATTAAGGGCTGCTGTCAGGCCACAGGATGAATCATTAGAAAGCCCAGAAGCAGAGCTCCGAGTTCCAGCCTGCTTGGCTTCTGGAAAATGTTCCTTCATCTTGACTTAGAACTTTAGCCTGAAAGGTGCCCGCAAGGTGATCCAGCCTTGCTGAATCTCCATTCACTTTAGTTTACCAGTCACTTCCTCAGAGCCGCTCCCTGGACACCCTCCAACCTCATTTCTTTGCTCCCGCTGTGACTCATCTTCTTTGGAACCCATTTGTCTTTACTCTCCTCCCTTTATACCTGCATTTGGGTTACTACCTTCAGTGCCTGCACCTCCACCGACATTACCCCTCACCCCCAGCAGGGACCTATCTGGTCCTATTTGTTTACTAACCAGGCCCCACACCAGTATTTCCAGACTGGATAAAGGTTGAAGCTGGCCCAGTCTTCACAGTGATTCCCTTTATCCCAAACCTGGAGTTTGAAACTTGGTGTTAAGTAGGTGCAGTTGCCAGGAAGGTGCTGGAACAAAACCCTGTGTTTCCTAAGCAGGTCAGCAGGTGAATGCTAGAACCTGCAGCTTGGCCCAGTGGTTAGTGTGATTCAGTCCCCTTGGCCTGGCATTTAGATGTTTGGTGAAACAAAGGCTGGACCACACCCAAGACTCCGGGCACTTTGCTGCAAGCCTGGGTGGTGAGAAGTGGCATGGGGGCAGACCCAGGGGGGTGGGAAGGGCACAGATGACTGTATTCATAAGCCAAGTGGCCTTGCCAGGCTGGGGGAAACTGAGAGCCATTGAGGGGTGTGACCAAGGAGGGTAAATGTCACCCGCCTCCCCCCTCCATGGGAATGACACGCTGAAAATCCTTCTCGGAGGCCATGGGGAGTTTTCAGCTTTCCCCAGTTTCCTTGGAGGAAGGTACACCAAGTTGCTGTTTGGGTGTGATTCTCCTGAGCTTTGTGGGTGTCTCCCACTCCCTCAATAAGGGGGAATAGCAGCAGCAGCAGGTGTTTGCCCCCAAGCTGCTGAGGGTGGAGGTGGCAGCTCCCACCCCTGGCTCAGTGGAGGAGTCAGCCAAAGGGAGCTGATGCATCCCATTGGGTGGAAACCAGGGAGGGGTGGGGTGCACGTTGAAGGGAGGAGAGTAAAGGCCTAAAATTGTGCCCCAGATGGAGCAGAGAGAAATTCCTTGCCTCATTCTGCATTTCAGGGGCGCTTTCCTCTGCCCACGCCCACCTTCTCATTTACACCTTACCTCATGCATGTGAACAGCATTGGGTCAGGGGGAACCCCACCTCACTCAGTGAGCAGGTGTGCCTCTTAAACACCCCCCCCCAACACACACACACAGGCCTTGCCTGGCCTCAAGGACTCAAGGACAACTCCAGGGGTTAGAACGTGTGTGTGTGAAGCCCGTGCCATCTCCCTGCTATTTCACTCAAGGTTTGTCACACACACACACACACACACACACACACACACACACACATTTTGCTAGAGCCCTGGGAAGCCCTTGATTTGTTTTTCTTACTCCTGAGAGTGGAGAGGGACAAAGCCAAGACACTCAAGGTTTAGGATTCCAAAGTTTTCCACGGCTCTGATAGCTCAGCTAGGAGCTTGCTGTGACTTCATGGTTCTCAAACAAGAAGCACCTTGCCAGTCAAGCAAGCCCAGGGGCGCCAGGAAGCATGGACCCCTGAGACCAGTGGAGGCGGGGTCACTCCTCAGGTGGATAAGATGAGCCACAGGTTCCCTGGAGACCTGGAGACCTCAGTCCTGGGGTGTTCTCTGCAGGCGGGATCTGGGTAAATAGACTACTCTGAATTGGGGGTACCCGCCACCCTACGTATGCATGTACACACACACAAACACACACACGCAGGGACATTTTCATTTTTTCTGTGTGGAATGGGAGAGTACTTTTTAAAGTTACTTACAAATGTCTGTGCCATGGCCCTGTTGGACACCTGCAAGCCAAGAATCACTTTTGTACTTACAGGTGAGGGAACTGCAGACCCTTCTCAAGAGATGTCCGTTTCCTCAGACACTGCTGGGACAATGGAAGCACCCAGCCATGAGACCATAAACCAGGGACTGTTGAAGCAAATAGCTCCAGATCTTAAGGGTCAGTGGATGTGGTTCTAGGGGACAGAGACGGCAGCTCCAGACAGCCTTTCCTGGACGACATTCAGACTCATTCCTGCCGGCGAAGCTGAGATTCAGGTCACCCTCCTCCCTCCAGGCTGGCGCTGACATTTCCATGCCGCTGAGCAGCCTCAGACTTAGCAGACCCAGCGTCTACCTGTAGGTAGCCCTACTCACAGGCAGCTCTGCCCATTGCTAGTTATTACCCACCTTTTCTGTGCCTCAGTTTCCACATCGTGTTCTCAACAGATAATTAATGATTAAGTGAAATGCTGGAGGCCTGAATATCCCCAACAGATAGGAGTGCATTAATTTCAATTTCCCCCTTTCTTAAGTTTCCCTCAAAGAAAAGTGGGGGTGGAGGAAATCAGTGCAGGCAGACTTCCTCACCGGCCCAGAGGCCAAGTGCCCTACCCATTGTCCAGAGTAACCATTACTTGAGTAATGTCAGCTGCTGCTTCCTGACTGCTTGCCTGTTTCTGATATAAGGATGTAGTGGATGATCTCAACCTCCCAAGAGTTTAATATTCTGACTCTGTGCGCTGCGAAGGAAACTGAGGCTCAGGATGATGAAATAGTTAATCCAAAGTCACAAGCCACTCGAGAGCAGTGCTGGATTTTAGACTCTGTTCATCTCTAGACCATGTTCCTTCCCACGCTGCCACCAATGCCCCAGCCCCAGAAATGAGTGAGGCCACCCCATTCCTGTGTTCAACCCCAGAAGGACATTTGGGGCTCTCTTGCTGGGGAGCCCCAGCCCACCATACATGTGATAAGGCGGCTCAGGGTGAAGGTCAGGGGCTGGCTGAAAATGGGAGACAGTCTGGGGCTGTCTTTGACTGTGATGATGTTAGGGACTCTGTAAGTGGTTACTGTGGGTGCGACCTCTTCCCAGGAAAGCGTGAGGCCGGGTGGTGAGACTGGTTAATTGAGATGGAAGCTGAGGGTGGGGGTGGGCAGGCACTTCCAAGCTTTCAGATCCGGTGCTGTTCCCGTAAACAAGTGCAGCCCTCAGCTCCCTGGAGGGCCTGGGGAGCAAATGCGCGCATCTCGGCCTCTTTCCCAGCAGCTGTTCGCTGCAGCCCGCAGCCCTGCCATCTCCAGCAGCCCTTCTCCAGGCTTCCCCAGCCCCCAGCTCAAGCCTCAGGAAGTGGAGCTGCTGAGAATCTCTCCTCCAGCTTCGCCTCCTGCAGAGAGTGTCCTCTGCGAGTGCATTTCCTGGCCTAATTAAGCCGGGTAATGAGTAGCTAAGAGGGAGGGGATAAAAGCCCTAGGCGGCTTAGAGCTGGGACAGTTTATGACAGGGGCGTCTGCAGCTGGTGACACTCAGGAAAGTTATTTCTCATAACCCTGGGAAGTTGCATGCTGTTTCCACAGCAGAGTGAGCCCAAGGTAAGCACCGGGAGGGGAGCATCCTATGGGGCCTGGCTGGAGGGGCCTGGGAGCAGACAAATGGGGTGGTGCTGTGGGTCTGGGGTGGGGCCGTCTGAGCTGCAGTGCAGTCACCAGCACCAGGCTAATGCCCTTGGCTGAGCCCCAGGCTGGGGTGTCCTCGGTGACCAAGTGTGACTCCCCAGGGCTTGGGTTTTATGTTTCATTTGGATGACAGGGCTGTGCACCGTGGGCAGTTTCCGAAGACCACGTCCGGCACAGAGTAAGGAAATCTGAGCTAGACACCATCCTGACTCCCTTGCCGTCCTCCTTTTAGGGTGTCCTGGAAAATACCAGGTGGCCCAGCAGCCAAGAATGGGCTGGGGGAAGGGAAGGCTGACTCCAGGGCTTGCCTTTCCGAGACACGCAGGGCCCAGAGAAGGCTGCTACCATCTCCGATTTCTGGCCCAAGAACTCAGAATCCACCCCAGGGCCACTGCTACACCCTCTGCACCCATTAACTTTTTGCCTTTGCACCTGGGTTTTGTTGTTTTTGTTTTTTTTAAATCACTTTGCACTCCTCCAGCAGTTGGCCAGGACACCGCTGTGTGTGTGGGGAAGAGCGCTGAGTCAGGCCCGGGCACTGGAGGCGGCTGGTCTCTAAGCCAAGTCCCGCACATGGGCGATCACATGACCTCCCAGCCCGCCTTTCCTCCCTGTGCAAGGAGGGGGCTGGCTGTGCATAGTCTCCAACACGTTATGAGTTATGAACCTATGACCTTGACCTTGGGAAAGCCAAAACTGGGTGACATTTCCCAGGCCTCTCAAATGAGGGGACCCAAAGTGCATGTTTGCTCTGAGGACAATTCGTCTCACTGGCCTCTGGAGCAGCGCTGTGGCCTAGGGGTGTGCGTGGTGGTGGTGGGGCTCAGTCCCCACACCCCTGTCATCAATATTTTGATCTATTCTAGTCTGCTAAATAAGACCTATGTGGGGCCGTGTCCTCAGAGCCCCCCTTCTTCCAGAGCCCAGGTCACATTGCTGGGGCTCCCCCCAACTCTCTCCCCTTCACGCTTTCCCCTCTTCTGTCTCATACCCCCATCCATTCTCTTGGCCTCCTGGTTCCTACCCTTCCCACCCCCAATTTTATTGCCATATAATGGACATATGACGATGGCCAAGTTTCAAGTGTACAACACGATGATCTGATAAATGTTTGCAGTGTGAAAGGTTTCTCCCTCTAGGAGAACGGTGAGGTCACAAATAACCTGGTATTTCCCATTTTTCTCTCTTGCTGTAGTTGTCTACTGCGTCGAAGGAGACCGGGTGGCCGGATACCCGAGCAGAGAGGGCACACCTGAGCGGTCTCCACCTGCGAGGACACCTGGCACGCTCAGAATTCCTGGGGGAGGGTCCCCGGTATTCAGAGGAGGGGCGCACAGGCCTGGGGGCTTCTACTCCTGTCCTTGACCCTGCCCACCGGGCTGCGCAGCCCCTGGTGCCTCCGGCCCTGCGGCAGCTGGCCTGGCCAGGGGAGCCCACGCACTGAGTGTGATCCTGGTTAAAAGAGAAAGGGAAAAGGATCCTGTCATTTCCCAGGACACAGAACAGCTGAAACCTGATACTCTTGTCAAGGGAGCCCTTTCACTGAGAGAGGCAGAGAGAAAAGGGGGGGTAAGGGAGAGAAAGAAAAAGAAGGAAGGAAGGTGTGTGAGAGGCCATTCGGATCGGGCGCAGGAAGCCCCGAGCACAGCTGAACGTGAGTACCCGTGTGGCCCCCGCCTCGTCCTCGGCTGGGCACTGATTCTCTGGGAAATGTTCCCCTGGTGTAGAGACGGCAGCAGCTGGTACAGGCCATGGGCCATCCCCCTGCTCCTTGGGAGCCGCTGTCCCTGCTCCAGAAGGCTGAGAGCGCCTCCTCCTCTGCCTGGCCTTTTGTGTGAAGGCCTGGGGAACTCTGCTGAGGAAAATGTGCATGGCCCTTGACTCGAGCAACAAGAAACAGAGCTTTCCTTTCGTGCGGCGTGGTCATTGCCTTTCTGGGTAGATGAGAAAGCAGCCGCTCTCTGGACCCGGTGTACAGCCAGAGAGGCAATGATGCCAACCTGGCTTGGAAAGGGTAAGGGTTGTTCATCTTTGTTCAGCTGCAAAGAGCTGCAGGTGCTTATTAGGCAAAAGCCACAGAAATTTGGGGAGGTGGCTTTGTGACGAGCCCTGTGCTGGGTGTGGTTCTGGGAGACATAGGTGCAGCCTTGGCAGAGCGCCTGCTCTCGAGATCTGCTTTCAGCCCAAACAACCAGGGAGCCATATACAAAGTCAAATAAGGAACCCAAATGTGTGATGGGGCCAGTGAATGGCCCGTAGGTGAATCCTCATGTGCTACGTGGACAAGACTGCTTTGAGCGGAGATAGTCCCCAGGTCACACAGCTCAGAGCTCCCACACTGCTCCAGGCACTGGGCCAAGCTCGGGATGCTGTGTGGTCAAGAGGAACAGTTGCTACCCTAGTGGAGCTGACCCTGGGGCCTGACTTTATTCTCAGCCACACACTTTGTATTTTACAGTTCATTTACTTATCTACTCACCTTATGTACTCAAAAAGAATCCAAGGTGGGTTATGATTAATGGTACCAACCATAAAATCAAAAACCAGATTAAGGGTTGAGGTCTAGGTTGTAAAGGGAGCTGGGGTAAGAGAAGAATTGCACCTGAAAATCTAAGTGCAGGGCAGTGCTGCCACCTTTGAGCCTAAAAATCATCTCTGAGCTGCCTGGTATTTGTGTCAAAAAGGGAAATAGTGGGCCTGAGAAAAAGGAAACATTTCTTGTGCAGGTCCTTTCAGGCTCAATACTCGCACATACTCAGTCTTGTTCAAGTGCATTCAGTTCTGCAGAAGCTCCTGCGCCATGCCCCATCTTACTTATCTCCATCACAGCTCTCTCGGGGCTCTGAGGCTGCCCCTTTTCACTCCACCATCACATCCCTCCTCTCTCTTTGCAGTGCCCAGCACAGGCCTAGTGTAGAGTATCCAATAATTATTGCCGCTAAGCATTTTTTCTTTTTGCATTGAATCATCACTCATGCCAAGCACCGTGTTGTCTTACGTGTACTACCTCATTCAACCCTGACACTGATCCTGTGACCCGGGGGCTGCTATATGCCCACTGGACAGATGAAGAAACTGAGACAGTGTGACTTCCCCATGGGCCCTCAGTGCAGGGTCAGATTTGGGCTTAGGTCAGCCTGACTGTGAAGCCAGAGGCATCTTCTGTATAGGGATTCTTCTTTTCTTTAAATAGATCGAACTATTGGAGGAAAAGCATCTGTCTGTCTCCCACAGTGGCCGCACAGTGCTCACCATATAGCAGAACCTTGAAAGATCTTTTGGCAATGACACTTCATTTTTTTTTAAGATTTATTTATTTTTATACAAGAACCGGGGTACAGGCCAGATGCGCAGGAGGTTGAGAGGATTCACCAGAGACAGAACGGGGAACAGAACAGGCAGACTGATGAAATACACTGCTGAGGGGAGCAGCGGGCGAGGTAGGAGAGGTCTGCTGCGCCATGTGGGATTCTCGCCGGCCGGCTGGGATCGAACCTGCACTGTAGAGGATGCGGACAGCTTCACAGTGCAGGGCTCAACCACCTGCACCACCAGGGAGGCCCGTGGCAATGACATTTCTTAACCAAGATAGGTGGAGAATTATACTGCTGACTTGCAGTGCGGAAGCGTGGAACTCTATATGCCAATTATCCGCATTTGTGGATATGCCACGCCACATTCGTGGCGTTCATAGACCTTAGAGTTCACAGCTGGAAGGGACTCCTGCGCCCCCATTTCACAGCCAAAGAATGGCTTGTGCACGGCCATGCAGCTCAGAGCAAGAGCAAGAACTCCCTGGATCATTTTCCACTTTGAATCATTTTCCCCTTTGATTAAAATATTCACCTCTATTCTGCAAACAAGGTGAGACAAAGGCTCAAAGGTGGGAGCCTCCACCAAGGCTGTGCCCCTGAGGGCGTCCCTGGTGGGTTGTGGCTCTCCCTCACCACCATACAGCAGCTGTTCTGGCTACTCCCCGGGCCTCCCTTATCCACCATATTTCTTGGAATAGCCGCTCATCACCTTCTCCATGAGCACATCACCCTTCTGAGGGGTTGTGAGATTCTCTCCTTTAAGAGAACGTTACTGGCGAATGCCCACTCATCCTTCTTAACATTTACTGACACTGTGCTAGGAGCACAGCCTGGGCTCAGGATCCTAAAAGAAGGGTTATTAGCAATGGTTCTCAAACCTGCAGCCATTTTGCCCCCAAGGGACATTTGCAGCATCTAGAGATGTTTTGATTGTCATAAGTGGGGGAGGGGTGACGCTAGCATCTGGGCTAGAGGCCAGGGATGCAGCTGAAAATCTCAGAATGCACAGGGCAGACCCCCACCATAAGAACTACTTGGCCCAAACTGTCAGAAGTGCTGAGGGTGAGAAACTCTTCCTCCCAGAGGAGCTCCGCCTGTCTCCCCCTGCCCTGTTCAGGAGCGGATCTACTCGTACCTCCTCAGAGCCACTGTGTTTGGCACCCTTTGGTCCTGCCACTTCCACTGTCCACTTTCCATTTGTCTCCCATGGAATTAAAAAAAAGGAAATTTATTGAGCACCAAGTGGGGCCCCCTTAGTGGCAAGCTCGGTATACTCTGTATGTCATTTAACTTCATCTGAAAAACAGTCACATATCTGAGGTAGATAATTATTCCTTTTTTTCCAATGAGAGAGGCTCAGAGAGGTCATTTAACCTGTCCAAGGTCACCCAGCCCTGCCCTATTTCAAACCTGACTCCCTGCTCTCCAGTGCAGCGCCCCTGCTGCTTTCCACAAGAGTGTACACTGTACAGATTTGAAACAGTCAGAAAATGCAAGGTAGGTTTGTTTTCCTCCATGCCAAATCCATCCCCTGCCTACCCTTAAAACAGTAGAGTTCTGAGGAAATGTGGAAGCTTTGGGTTAAAGACAGGCTGGCACGATGTGTTCTTGGTTACAGTGTCTTAAGCTTCTCCCAGCCCAGGTGAGCCAACAGCAACCCAAATTTAAACTCTAAATTGCCAGGAAAGCCTCTGGGGGAATCTCCACCACACAGCTCCCGGCAAGCCCTCCCCTCCCTGGGAGGAGGCACTCTGGGTTCCTCCGGCTCCCCCACCCACTGAGGTCTTCGGTAATGCCTGCCTTTGGCACTGGGGACTTATTAAACAGCACCAACTCAGAGCTTCTGACTACCAAACCCTGAGTCTGTTGTGACAACCTTTATTATGTTCATAAGCGCATGTTCTGTGTGTGCCTGCGCGGCTTGTGTGCGCCCCCAATGCTACTAGAAAGGTGGCCTTTATTCAGGGTCTGAGCTGGGTCTTAGCCTCCTGGCCTCTCTGAGTTGCTTCCTGCTGCCCTCCCGCCCAGGGGTCTGCCTCTCCTGCAGTCGGACGGAGCTGGGCCCCTCGTGGCTTCTGCTCGGATTAACTCCTTCCTTCCTGCTAGCCTGTGAGCGTAAAGGGGCTCTGGGCCAAGTGGCCAGACACTCACTGGCTCCAGGGCTGCGGATGCCATAAACTCGTTTTCCTTGGGGACCCTGGAGCTCAGCGAATTACTTTCAGAAAGCACAACTGTTTTGTTTGAAATAGCTCCGGGAGGAGGGAGAGCCCAAGGCTCTGTCCACATGTTCCTCATTTGCCATTGGTGGGGAGCAGGGGCGCAGGGGGCTGTGCTGGGGGTGTGCTGGGGAGGAAGGCGCAGGAGGGGAGAGAGCCGGCTGCAGCTGCTGCTGCAGGGAAGTTTGGCTTCAGGGAGGAATGGAGAGAGAGTGTGGAAGAAGAAGGGGTGGGACTTGGGGACGGGGCGGTGTCATGGGGGAGGAGGGAGCAGGTGGTGACTTGTTTATCTGCTCAGCTGTTTTGTGTCCAGGAGCCTGAGAGAGAGACAGAAGCAGCTGGGAGGAGAAAAAGGCACACGACTAGGGGCCCTATTGGTCCTTCTGCCTTAGCCACAGGTTCTGAAACCAAAGCAAAATCACTAGAGAGTGATTCATAGGGGTATAGCCTCCCGTCCGCCTCCTCAGAAGGGTTTCTTTTGGGCCCATATGCTAGTTTCTGCTATGCAAACACCCTGGCAATGCCCTCCTTGCCTTGGTGCAACGATAATGATTGGGTATGCATCCCCACTGGGTTAATACCAGCGAGGACTCACGTAAATGTTCCTGGCCCTCAGTCGGGTGTACTCCCACATGTGAATTGGCACAATCCCTGGGGACCAAGCCAGTTAGCTCCTAGCCTGGGTGTCAACCCAAACCAAGGCAAGGCAGTGTTCCTGCTGGAGACAGGACAGCTGCCCCCATCCCTGCTCTGTGCTCCCCGATGCCTCCCTCCTCTTTCGGGCATCCCATTATGAATTTCCCTCTTCAGTTGCCCAAGACCCACACAGTGGTACCTACTGGTTCCCCCTGTCCCCCGAGCTGGTGTCTCATTTGCATGCTAGATTGTTTGGAGGCCAAGCTGGGCTGCAGCTTAATTTGCCCTGATGTCTTTTGACCAGGTTAATAAACACACCACCCCTCTCACACGAGACTCTGGAAAGCAGTTATGCTTTAATTATAGTGCAATTTCAAGGGTTTGCTTGTTTCCCCCACCCCTCTTGGCTTGTTCGCCATCTTATTATTTTCTTCTTGTTGTTTGTTAGTTTAAATGAGAACATTTGCTGGAACTTCCGTCGATGGCTC